TTAGTAATGATATATATATATATTGTAGTTATGTGTATATGTGTTTTATTAATTATAAATAATTTTATTTTTAATATATATATATATATATTTGTATATATATGTGAATTTATATGCATATATTAATTTAAATATATGTAGATGAATATTTAGATATTTAATAATATTTTTGAATGATGAGTCAGCAGTTTTTTTGCTGAGTCAGCAGTTTTTTTTGCTGAGTCAGCAGTTTTTTGATGAGTCAGTAATTGCGTTTGTTTTATTTGAAAAAAATTTAAAAGTCTGGGTATTTATGTGGGAGTTTTGAAAAGTTCATATATTTATATGACAATTTTATAGTTCGAGTATTTATTTGAGATTTTTGTAAAAGTTCGAGTATTTTTATGTGATTACCCCTTATTTTTATATTAGGTTCTGATTTGGATATGGTCTTTTACTTTTTATTTTATATAGAAAAAAGCATACTTAAAAAATGATACAATCATTTCAGAACCGAAATTCCCACCTCGAATTAGAGGGCCTTGGATGGGAGGGTAAAACAATAAACAAGTTCTGAGTTGGGAGGAAATTCGTCTTCCTTTGGATTAAAATGACCGAGATTCATGTTACAATATGAAAACGACCAAACATGTTATGAAGAAGGATGACACAATTGATAAATAACAAAACCGGTTGATTGAACCGGTCCCAGACATTTCATCAGTATAATCATAAAACGAATCTGAACCGACATTCCCTCCCGGTCCGGCTCCGGTTCTCCACACTCCCACATTGTTATCTCTGTTCAATACATTAAACCATAATCAAAATCCTATTATAACACCGGTATTAGATAATGAAAAATTGTGCTAAAAGGATATAAAGCAACCATTTCAAATTTGATTAATAACCCATGGTTTTGATCAAGTTTATTTTATTCATTAGAGGGATCGAGTGTAACCTGCCACCGATGCCGAGAGCGCCGGCATGGAAGGTTATCTGATCGATGAAGCCCGCGGATTTAGGCTCGACACTATACGCTTTCTCGTACTTCACTTCCATGCCTTCGCCCGAAGCCACGAAAAACGCTCCGTTCACCATAATATCTCCCTCCGATCTCCAATTCCAACCTTTCCATTCTCCGTCCGGCGTCTCAACTCTCTTCGTCACCTATACATACAACGATATAGGAATATGTTTTTCCCTGTATTTTATTACCGTAATGTACATCTTAAACCTATAGTGTAAAAACCCTAGGTTAAAAACTAAGAGGGGCTATTTTGGGTATTAACCGAATAGACGAATTGAACCAAACCGAATAAGGTATAACCGTAATCGAATCGAATCTGATATAAAAACCGAACAGTTATGATTTCTATAAATCCGAAAAAATCGAATCCGAACCGAATAAAAAAATAACCGAAAAAACTGACAATTTGTTTGAAAAATGAGTTTTTTACCAATAAAAATCCGAAATTAATATAAAAACCGAATGGTTATATTTTTCTAAAACCAAATCCGAACCGAAACCGAATTGGGCACCTTAGGTTAAACCTTGGACAATATTTACGATAGTACCCTTATATCGTTACCTCTTTGGCGAACGGGTTGGAAGGAGCGGTATAGCGATTGCCCTGACTGTTGATGGTGGGGTTACCGCTACCGCCGATCGCATACATTTCCCATTCGGTGAAATCGTTGTTAACGACGTGGATATATCCTCGGCGACATCTCGGCA